ATGTGTATTTTTCTTTAATGATATTATAAAAGAGTGTGAGAATAATGGTGTATTTACGGATCGAAGATATTTAATCTTTAAATGTCAACGTAAAAGGATGAGTTAGTATTGGAAAACCTTGAAAAATGGAAGAAAAAAAAAAAACGTGTGCATAAATCAAGATTGTATTATAGAAATTTCTTCATTCATTCAATCAAACTTGATTTAAATTATGTAAAACGTACATAAATTTAATTGTTCATTGTTCATTGAAATGCCAAAAATATATATCAAATTTAGTAGGTAAATTACGCGACATTTTCAAAATGATTTTACGGTAAAATTTTCAATGGTGGGTTGGTTATGTAGCTGGGTACTTTTGGGTTCGGTTAAATAGTGTGGGAACACGACAATTAAAACCAAAATTTGTATGGTTTAATAATGCAATAGTAAATTTTTAAGAAGTTTTATAAATACAAATCAAATCTAGTACCAAAGTATTAAAATTATAATGGTTACGTGCTACCTACTTTCTTAACAAAGCGTTTGTGTTTGTGTTTTTTCTTGATTGAATGATGATGACCTCTGGTTGAGGATTAGCTGCCGTGTTGATTTTATCGATTAGCATATCATTGATCTGTGTAGATGGAATGTGACATAACATCTATAAAATTGTGTCACAATTTTTTGATATCTGATAGAAATTGTCCTCTTCCTTGAACCACAACAGTTTTTCTTTTGGGAATTGCCATAATTAGTTTTCTATCAAAATTATGACAGGTGTCAATTTTTATACGAGTTCAATGGACTGTCAAATTGAACTCTGACAGCTGTTGAAATTGCCTTTCATAGGAGTTTCAATATTATTTACTTCTCGGAAAATAACACTACATTATGAAGCTTCATAGATATCAGTTGATCTCTAACTGTCAAAATAATAACGTTTGACAAATGTCAATTTTTAACAAGCTCATTTGACAGTCAACTATCAAATTCAATTTTGATAGCTGTCGGAAATTGTTTAATTTAATAGTGATGATTTTATTTTTATGTAAATGACACAAAAATTTTAAAGCTCTATAAACATTAAATCGTCTCTAACTGTCAAAATAATATATTTTGACAGGTGTCAATTTTTGTACGAGCTTATTGAACAGTGTACTATCAAATTAAACTCTGGCAGCTGTCAAAAATGGTCTTATTCAAGAAAGACGATTTCATTTTTATGGAAATGACACAAATTTTGAAGCTCCATGGACATTAAATCAGCCTCAATTGTCAAAATAATACCTCTTGATAAATGAAAATACCAAAGGACCCCGCACACCTCTTATGGGTTTTTGGTTTTCTGTCAAACAATGAAATTTTTATATGTGGTATACCTTGACTGCCTGATAAAAAGTTCTCATAGGCCCAACCCGATATTATAAGTGGTTTTCGAGATATAATTATTTTAATGTTCAAGAAATGTACACTTTTATTGACGATTTCGAATACCGATAGGGGCGCTGGCGTTTGTAAACAAATATGGCAGAGAACGAGTAATATTTTAACATTCAGCATCGTATTTATATACATTCGTATTTCTTTCGCTAATTTTCTCGTTGTTCTCGTGGTTTTTTCGTGGTTTTTTACTATATTTCATAAATTTTGAACGTTGTGACTTTCTTTTGTGCATTTCGTATCCATACAACACGAACTATGGATAATGGAGGCCTATTTTGAATGAAAATGACATTACAAAGTTTACTTGTTGATTATAGTGAGTAAGACAAAGACAACAATAAAGTAGTATATAAAGTTTGTTTTGCCAATTTTTGTACTTGCCACCAGCATTTGCCTTCCTTGTTTAACAAATAAAAATTGACCGAAACAAATGAATGACGTCAAAAACGTTCGTTGGTTCTTAAAAAAGAAGTCATTCACACATTCATTTTAATTTGTCAAAAAAATTGAATGTGTCATAATATAGATTAATCTACGACAACCCTTTTTTTTTCAAGTTTCAAGGTCAAGTATGAACCCTGGTGAAACAAACTTTGTATGTTTACAAAAACCATCGTTTTCTGAAAAAAGTGAAAATTTTAAGAAAACTCAATAAAAACCAACATTCCAAAGTTAATTTGATAAAACTAAAGTTTTTGAATATTCCCGGCTTTTTGATTGGGCGCTAAAAATCATATTTTCAATATTCCCGGTTTTTGATTGGCTCCAAATTATCCGCTGGCCAATAGAATTATAGACTGGGCCCCGTGATTAAAATAACTCCAGCCCTTCGGGCTTTCGTAAAACTCCGGCCCTTCGGGCTCGCTATAACTCCGGTCTTTCGGGCTCTCGTATAACTCCGGCCCTTCGGGCTCGCATATAACTAAACAGTTTTCCCGATTGAAACCGACCTGGAAAAGCGGAAAATCCGAGGAAAAGCTGGATAAAAACACTCGAAAATGGCCAAATGTTTAAAATGCCAAATAACATTACACTACAAGGCCTACTTGATTGAAAGCGACGTTGCCACATCTCAAATACGTTGCCACATTTACAATTTAAAACATAATGTTTTTCCAGATTTTAGTGAGTAAAACAAAGAAGAAGATAAGGTAGGATACATGAGTAAAAAACCAGAAGCGATTATAAATGAGTAAGACAAAGAGCGAGATAAAGTAGGATACAATTCAACTGCTCAGTTTGTCACAATTTTGATGCAAATCACCCAGTTCAAACGCCTGGAATAATCCCATTTTTTTTAATTTTTTTTGACAACCGACAAGCCTACATAACTTTTGACAATTAACAGCCAAATTAGATTGAAACTTACAGCAACGTTGCCACATTTTGAAACGGTATTTTGAGGTATTTGTAAACGTTGGGACAACAGACATTTGATCGAAAATAATGCAAATTAAATGAAAATGATTAACAATTTATGATTAGAAAAACATCATTTTAATGTCAACTGTCAAAAAAAAACAAAGCCTACTTTATAAAACGTTATTTCTGTGCCATAATAATTAATCAGTTGAAAATTTACAAAAAAAAAAACTATGTTTGTCCTCGTTTGTTGCATGCAAACAGACAGACAAAATACGATTTAAGGCCTTCACCGGTTGACATTTCTATTTTAAAAATGCAAAACCTTTTTAATCAGAAAACGACAAGACTTTGACTTGACATCTTTTTTTTGCTTCTTTCAAACAAACTGAACACTTTGCAGAATTGCATCCTACTTTATCTCCCTCTCTGTTTCACTCATTTAGTGTTTTCGTAAATCTATCCAATCTTATTTCCTTCTTTGTTTTATTCACTGAAATCTGGAAAAACATTACGTTCAAGATTGTAATTGTGGCTTCCGATCATGAAGTAAGCCTTGTAATGTCATTTGTGACTTTTGACAGCAATTTTGAATATTTTTATACAATTAAAAACGTTTATTTTGGTATCAAGAAGAACCTACTCTGAAACGTCGGTTTTTTGACGTCAGTGTTGCCATATATATATTTTTTCCAATTGAGAGCCCGCAGGGCCGGGGTTTTTTTTAAGTCCGAGCCCGAAGGGCGAGGGTTTTATAAATATTCATGCGTATTACCCTTGCCCTATAAACTCGTGATTTAAAAAAACCCCGGCTCTTCGAATTTGTAATTAAAAAAGCCCTACAGGCTGGGAATTTAAAAAAACTCCGGCCCTGCAAGCTCGCAATTTATGGCAACACCGCTCATAGCACAACAAACGTTTAAAAACTGACGTTCCAAAATAGGCCTTGTCTTTTTTGACAGTTGACACCAAAACGACAAGATTGCTGTTTGTAAGGGGCCCTCTTTTTTCGGTTCAGGGTTCCGTTTTTTAGGCCAAATTTAGCGTTTTTCAACTGCAAAGTGACTTCAAAACCCTCTGAGTAGGACAAGGAAAGGGATAGAGTAGAATGCAATTTAAGTGCACAGTTTGCTTAAAAGAGACACAAAAACCTTACCTACCCTTAATTTTAGCATTTGAAACTAGAAATTTTTGGCTGAAAATGAAGGAAACTCAAAGCCTCGTACTTAAAATCGGTTTTCCCTATGGAAAAAGCACTGGAAAAGCGGAAAATCTGAAGAAAACCCAAGGAAAATTACATTTCAAAGCCCACTTGATGAAATTTGAGTTTTTGTCACTTACCTCCTTGAAAAACCGGATTTTTTTGGCAGAAAATGGAGAAAACTTAAAGCCTCGTACTTAAAACCAGTTTTTCTAATTGAAAACGGCCTGAAAAAGCAGAAAATTCGGGGAAAAATTGGATAAAAATGTAAACATGTCAATTAAAAATGGCCGACTGTCAAAACTGACAAATGACATTTATTACTTGAAGTTGGCCACAAGCGATGTTGCCACATCAAAACTTTCAGAAAAAATATTTTAAATGAGATTTTGCTAATTATGGCATTTAAAACTAAAAATGTTTACTAAAAAATTGAGAAAACTTAAAGCCTCGTATGTAAAATCGCTTTTTTCCATTGAAAAGCCCCGGAAAAGTGGAAAATTGGCGATTTCGACTATCGATGGGAGCGCTGGCGTTTGTAAACAAATATGGCGGAGAACGAGTAATTTTTTAACATTCAGCATTGTATTTATATGCATTCGTATTCCTTTCGCTAATTTTCTCGTTGTTTTCGTGGTTTTTTTGGTGATTTTTACTATACCTATTTCATAAATTTTGAACGTTGTGACTTTCTTTTGTGCATTTCGTATCCATACAACACGAAATATGGAAAATGGAGCCCTTTTTTGAATGAAAATGACATTACAAAGTTTACTTGTTGATTATAATGAGTAAGACAAAGACAACGATAAAGTAGTATGTAAAGTTTGTTTCGCCAGGGCTTGTACTCGCCACCAGGAAAACTGGATACTTTTGGCAGAAAATGAAGAAAACTCAAAGCCTCGTACTTCAAATCGGTTTTTCTAACCAAAAAAGCTCTGGAATCGCGTAAAATCCAAGAAAAATGACATTTCAAACCCCACTTGATGAAATTTGAGTTTTTGTCACTTACCTCCTTGAAAAACCGGATTTTTTTGGCAGAAAATGGAGAAAACTTAAAGCCTCGTACTTAAAACCAGTTTTTCTAATTGAAAACGGCCTGAAAAAGCAGAAAATTCGGGGAAAAATTGGATAAAAATGTAAACATGTCAATTAAAAATGGCCGACTGTCAAAACTGACAAATGACATTTATTACTTGAAGTTGGCCACAAGCGATGTTGCCACATCAAAACTTTCAGAAAAAATATTTTAACTGAGATTTTGCTAATTATGGCATTTAAAACTAAAAATTTTTGCTAGAAAATTGAGAAAACTTAAAGCCTCGTATGTAAAATCGCCCCGGAAAAGTGGAAAATTGGCGATTTCGACTACCGATGGGGGCGCTGGCGTTTGTGAACAAATATGGCGGAGAACGAGTAATATTGTGACGTTCAGCGTTGTATTTATATGCATTCGTATTTCTTTCGCTAATTTTCTCGTTGTTTTCGTAGTTTTTTCGGTGGTTTTTTACTATATTTCATAAATTTTGAACGTTGTGACTTTCTTCTGTGCATTTCGTATCCATACAACATGAAATATGGAAAATGGAGGCCTGTTTTTGAATTTGGCCACAGTTTTATCCTACCCGCAGGCTGGCGTAGAAAGCACGATCAATATTTTTCTTAGGAAAATAATGAAAATTAATAGTTCTGTCTGCACTTTTTCGGGAATGGCATTCCTATACACAGCAGTTTGTGTTATGCTTGGACCGCTTGAACTTGGAGGCAAATGCCATTGAATTCCTCTAATAAAAGCACCTCAGAGAACCAAAATAAAAGCTTTCCCTATATTATTTCTCACTTTTCGACACAAAACACGTAATTTACATCAGGAACGAACAGAAAACATCGAAAAAGCAAGAAAATATTCCAATACGGTATGTAAACAAACGATCTATTACTCGTTAAGTTAGTGCCAAATATTTCCGCCAGGTGCCGCATTGATTTTTGAAATCGCCAATATGCAATCACATCTACCTGTCACCTAATAATATACCTACCAGGATTGACAGGCATCTGTAATGTTTAAATAAAGTGCGTTTTTTTTTTAAAAGATAATTCCCCAAGTCAAAAATTTAGTAACTATGTTGGCAACACAAGCCTTTCCTACATGAAAAATTTAAAAGCATTGACAATTTTACATTGTATTGCCAACATAATGTCAGTTTGACTTTTATCTTAAAAAAAAAAACGCACTTTAGTTTGATTTGTTAACATCAGGCAATCCAATCCATCTGTCAAAAAGGAAAATTCAATATGGCGTGGCGGCCAAGCAAGTTTATTTTGAGTATGTTTTTATGCGTATTTTAAATTATTTGGCTTGCAACTTTGATTTTGATTATTTAATAAGATATTTGTTGATTAGGTACCTAAACTATTAAATCGGGCAGAAACTAGATATTTTTTTTTGTATTTTTTGGCCCTTGTGTGGCCGCCACGCCATCTTGAGTGTCACGTGGTTTGGATTCAAGGAGAATACACGCTCTAAGGAGTGCTTATCAGCTTCGTTTTTGGTAATCGCCGCCATGCCGCTTACGTCACGGGGAATTTGTCACACACAGGCCTTATGAGGATAGGCCATCCTGTAGTAGTAGTGTGTATCAACCTTGGCTTGGATTACCTTATTGTTTATTTACATTAAGTTTATAGGTTGGGTTTGCAATGTTGCTTCTGTTTTGATTTGTATTTTCTGTTCTTTTATTGTTTGTTTTCGCATTTGTCATATGTTGCTATTACACTAACTCAGTTGTCAATGAGCTTGTGACGTCATATGCTTTTCATTGCTCGCTCTCTCTCTCTTTTACCAGCCCTTGACCAAGTAAGTTAACAAAATAAATGTTCCTTGATTTTGCCTTAACAATTCTTTAATTAACAATCCTTAACACAACACCAGCAGTCCCAACACCTAATCATTACAGTATCCACACGCTCAGGTGACAAGTAGATGTAAATGCATATAAAATGTGTACATTTCTTGGACATTAAACATCCTGTATCTCGAAAACTATTCATAATTGCGGGTTAGGCCTATGAGAACTTTTTATCAGGAAGTCAAGATATACTACATATCAAAATTTCATTGACTTTGACAGAAAACCAAAAACCCATTAGAGGTGTGCGGGGTCCTTAAAACAAAAAATCACGTGATTGAAGACGCCGTCTCATTGGCCATAATGCGAAATTTAAACAATTTCAACAATTATATATCTATCGTTGATTTTTTTTCTAACGTAAAAAAGGACAAAAATAATTTCTCTAAGTAGTGAGTTGTGTAATGATTCACTAATGAGAAATTCGGCATTTTTGGGAAAGTGACGTCACTTCCCTATTTCGCATTTTCCTAGATGTTGAATCAAATCAAATGTAAATGTTTTCAAAGGTATATGGATTAATTTTTACATCATTTGTATGATAATAATTGTATACCTTCTCATACTTCATACTTCTCACACAATGGCAATATTTTTATAATATCAATACAGTAAATGAGTACTTATTAGCAAGATCCTCCCATAATTACAGTAATTTTGCTTTTGCCTTATAATAAATAATCATCGGATTTAACCTTATAAGAAAATAGCTTTGGAAAGGTTGAACATCTCTTCTATTATATCCAATATTGATAATAAAACTATGTCTTTAAAAATTTTGAATTTTAGATAATTTTCTAATTAGCATATTATTATCGTCCTAAAAATTCCTACTATATAAAATATGATGCTCATAACGCATTACATAATAAACCCATTAAAGTGTGCCATCATATTAGTACTACCTAGAGAATTATTGTGCAAGACTATTTCTGAAAAAAAATTGGTTTTATGGAAATTGAAGGAGATTTCAGTGACTGGTAACTGACACAACTACTATTATCTTTTTATTGATTTTGTATTGGATTTATTCTGATTTAGTGTTTGTTGTTTTCAGTTATTCAAATGAGGATTTTATTGTAATTTTAATTGATAATAATTATATAAGAATTGATTGTTGATGATAATTGAAAACTTTTCAATTTTTTCTTGGTGCAAACAATTAAAACACAAACTTTTGGATTTTACTTTTATTTCATTAAAAAACTAACTAATTTTATTGAGGAGGTACGGGTAAATGAGCGCCTTGAGGTTGGAAACCATTTTCATCAGCAATATAAGTGACGCTGTACAAAACTCCATCTGGTCCAGTGTATTGGTACGACCCACGAACAGCTACAGCTTCGTTTTCAGCGCCTGGGTTGACCAGTTCGCCTTGTTCTTGATGAGAAATGCCGTTGCTAGTTTCGTATCTGAGCAAAACAAAAAATATTAACATTGAGGAAAAATTAATTTAAATAATTATTTACCCAAAATTGTATCCGTCAACTCCAATATTTTCGCTTTCGTATTTGAGTACTTGAGCAGCTGCGTCAGGGTTTTGAGGGGCAGCGACAGCTACAGCCACGAGAGCGAATAAGGCAATTACCTGAGAGAAAAAATATATAAAAAACTAATAAACAAACAAACATTTGCATAAAAGCTATTGCACAACTAGGATTAAAAACAAAATGTCATACTTACTACTTTCATATTGAATTTTTTTGGTTGATCGGATTATTCCAGTTGAAAAACTAATCGAAAACTGATGCCTTTACCGAAAAAAAATCTTCTTCTTATAATCGTCTGCCCCTTCTCATAATCCCCATGTGTGGGTCAATATTTTGACCAAAAATCTTCTTCATATAAGTGGTCGACCTTTCGGAATCTTTATTAGAGGTTAAATGGTGCAATCTCAGGGTATCGATTTGCATTCAATTATTACAGTAATTTTGCCTTTTTTGTCTCAAGGCATTAAAAATTTTGAAAATCAACGTTGCATAAATTATACATTTTGCCGGCAATTAATCTTAAATTAAATGTCAATAATTTCGATTAAGCGTGTTTTGTATGTAGGTACTGAGACTGATCTTTAAGCTTTTATCGGTTTCAAATGTCCTGATGTTTATTTATTACTTTATTCAAATTGTTAAGACATATTTACAATTATTAGCAGTAAATTACATTTAATAACAATTATAATTTGTTGAAGATGATTTCTTGTTTTGTTTTTAATTCATTTACTTTTTTGAATACGAGAAATGATTTATTGTTTGTGTCATCTACAACATTGACATGAGATAATCATCCTTAAAATAGACTATTTTCGATAGCTGTCAAAGCTGAATTTGATAGCTGTATGTCAAACTAGTTGTATACACATTGACACCCGTCAAAAGATATTGTTCTGACAATTAAATATGATTTAATATTTAACCTTCAAAATTTGTGTCATTTTCATAAAAATAAAATCGTCGCCATTAAATTCAACAATTTTACGATGTCCAATGAGCTCGTATAAAAATTACCACCTGTCAAAGATTCATTATTTTGACTGTTATATCTATGGAGCCTTAAAATGTGTCTAATTCCCATGGATATAAAATCGTCGTTCTCAAATAAGGCAATTTTTGACAGCTGTCAAGGTTAAATTTGATAAAACCTACAATGTCCAATGAGCACATATAAAAATTACCATCTGTCAAGATTTCTTATTTTGATAGTTATGTCTATGGAGCTTCAAAATGTGTGTATTATGTCAAATAAGTTTGTATCGTACAATTATTTTCTATAAAATTTCAAACTTTGTGTCATTTTCATAGGAATAGAATTATCGCCATTAAATTAGACAATTTCCGCCAGCTGTCAGAATTAAATTTGATAGTTGACTGTTAAATGAGCTTGTAAAAAATTGACATTTGTCAAATGTCATTATTTTGACGGTGTTATTTTCTAAAAAGTAATATCGAAGCTTCTATGTAAGGTAATTTCAACAAATGTCAAAGTTCAATTTTATAGTCCAATTAAATCTTATAATAATTGACACCAGTCAAAATATATTAATTTAATACTAAAAGACGATTTAATATGTGTAAAACTCAAAATGTTTGTAATTTCCATGGAAATGGAACAGTGGCTCTCAAATCAGGCAATTTTCAACAGCTGTTAAAGCTGAATTTGATATTTAATTGTCAAATGAGCATGTAAAAAATTAACATTTGTCAAACGTCATTATTTTGACAGTTAGACATCAATCTATGAAGTTTCATAATTTAATGTTATTTTCCGAGAAGTAATATCGAAGCTCGTGTGTAGGGCAATTTCAACAGCTGTCAAAGTTGAATTGTATAGTCCAATGAACTCGTATAAAAATTGACACCTGTCAAGATATATTATTTTCAACATCTAAATGTGTGTAAAGCTCAAAATGTTTGTAATTTCCATAGAAATTGTACAGTAGTTCTCAAATCAGGAAATTTTTGACAGCTGTCAAAGTTGAATTTGATAGTACACTGTCCAATAAGCTCATATAAAAATTTAAACCTGTCAAAATATATAATTTTGACAGTTAGAGACGATTTAATGTTTATAGAACTTTGGAATGTTTGTATCATTTGCATAAAAATAAAGTCATCACCATTAAATTAGACAGTTTCAGACAGCTGTCAAAATTAGATTTGATAGTTGACTGTCAAATGAGTTTGTTAAAAATTGACATTTTTCAAACGTCATTATTTTGACAATTAAAGGTCAATTGATATCTATGAAGCTTCATAATTAAGTGTTATTTTCCGAGAAGTAATATCGAAGCACTTTTGTAAGGCAATTTCAACAGCTGTCAAATTTTAGTTCGATTTTCCATTGAGCTCATATAAAAATTGACACCTGTCAAAATGTGTTATTTTGATAGCGACGATTTAATGTCTGGAAAACTTAAAAATCTGTGTAATTTCTATCGAAATAACATCGTCACTCTTAAATAAGACAATTTTCGACAGCTGTCAAAGTTAAATTTGATGGTACAATGTGCAATAAGCTCAAATAAAAATTGGCACCTATCAAAATGTATTATTTTGACAGTTATGTCTATTAAGCTTCAAAATGTGTGTAATTCCCATGGATATGAAACCATCGCTCACAAATAAGGCAATTTTCGACAGCTGTCAAAGTTAAATTTGATAGAACAATGTCCAATGAGTTCGTATAAAAATTAGCACTTATCAAAATTCACTATACTCCTGGACAAAATTATCGCACCACTGCTTATGGTGATGCTTATGTGCAGTGGTGCGATAATTTTGTCCAGGAGTATATTTTGACAGTTATGTTTATGTTTATGGAACTTCAAAATGTGTGTCATTTCCAATGAAATGAAACCGTCGCTTTTAAATGAGACAATTTTTGACAGCTTTCAAAGTTAAATTTGATAGTACAGTGTCCGATAAGCTCGTATAAAAATTGACACATGTCAAAATAGATTATTTTGACAGTGAGAGACGACTTAATGTTTATGGAGCTTTAAAATTTTTGTAGCATTTGCATAAAAACAAAGTCATCACCAATAAATTAGACAGTTTCAGACAGCTGTCAAAATTGAATTTAATAGTTGACTGTCAAATGAGCTTGTTAAAAATTGACATTTTTCAAACGTCATTATTTTGACAATTAAAGGTCAATTGATATCTATGAAGCTTCATAATTAAGTGTTATTTTCCGAGAAGTAATATGGAAGCACCTTTGTAAGGCAATTTCAACAGCTGTCAAATTTTAGTTCGATTTTCCATTGAGCTCATATAAAAATTGACACCTGTCAAAATGTGTTATTTTGACACTTAGAGACGATTTAATGTGTGTGGAGCTCAAAATACTTGTATTTTCCATAGAAATGGAACAATAGCTTTCAAATCCGGCAATTTTTGACAACTGTCAAAATTGAATTTGAAAATTGACTGTCAAATGAGCCTATGAAAAATCGACATTATTTTGACAAGTAGAAATTAAATGATATCTATGATGCTTCATAATTTATTGTTATTTTCCGAGAAGTACCTAATATCGAAACTCCTATGTAAGGTGATTTCAACAGCTGTCAAAGTTCAATTTGATAGTCCAATGAACTCGTATAAAAATTGACACCTATTAAATGTATTATTTTGAAAGCGACGATTTAATGTCTGAAAAACTTAAAAATCTGTGTAATTTTTATCAAAATAACACCGTCACTCTTAAATAAGACAATTTTCGACAGCTGTCAAAATTAAATTTGATGGTACAATGTGCAATAAGCTCAAATAAAAATTGGCGCCTATCAAAATGTATAATTTTGACAATTATGTCTATTGAGCTTCAAAATGTGTATCATCACATGGATATGAAACCGTCGCTTGCAAATGAGGCAATTCTCGACAGCTGTCAAAGTTGAATTTTATAGTACCATGTCCAATGAGTTCGTATAAAAATTAACACCTGTCAAGATTTATTATTTTGACAGTTATGTCTATGGAGCTTCAAAATGTGTATTAATCTCATGGATATGAAACTGTCGCTCTCAAATCAAGCAATTTTTGACAGATGTCAAAGTTGAATTTCATAGTTGGATGTCGAATGAGTTTGTAGGAAAATTGACATTTATTGAATCTCATTATTTTGACAGTTAGAAAGACGAAGTCTTAAAATATGTGTAATTTTCATAGAAATTAGACCGTCGCTCTTAAATGAGACAATTTTCGACAGCTGTCAAAGTTAAATTTTATAGAACAATGTCCAATGAGCTCGTATAAAAATTACCACCTGTCAAGATTTCTTATATTGATAGTTATGTCTATGGAGCTCCAAAATGTGCCTAATTCCCATGGATATGGAACAATCGCTCTCAAATAAGGCAATTTTCGACAGCTGTCAAAGTTAAATTTGATAGAACAATGTCGATTAAGCACGTATAAAAATCTACACCTGTCAAAACATTATATTTTGACAGTTAGAGACGATTTAATGTTCATGTGGCTTTGAAATTTGTGTAATTTTTATGAAAATAAAATCATTGTCATTAAATTAAACAATATCCGACAGCTGTCAAAATTGAATTTGATAGTTGACTGTCAAATGAACTTGTAAAAAATTGACATTTGTTAAACGTCATTATTTTGACTGTTAGAGATCAATTGATATCTATGAAACTTCATAATTTAGTGATATTTTCCGAGAAGTAATATCATGTAAGGCAATTTCAACAGCTATCAAAGTTCAATTTGATAGTCCAATGAACTCGTATAAAAATTGACACTTGTAAAAATGTATTATTTTGACACTTAGAGACGATTTGATGTGTGTGGAGCTTGAAATGTTTGTAATTTTCATAAAAATGGAACAGTAGCTCTCAAATCAAGCAATTTTCGACAGCTGTCAAAGTTGAATTTGATAGTTCACTGTCCAATAAGCTCGTATAAAAATTGACACCTGTCAAAATTTACTATTTTTACATTTAGGAACGATTTAATATTTATGAAGCTTTGAAATTTTTGTGTCATTTGCATAAAAATAAAATCAGCGCCATTAATTAAATTAAACAATTTCCGACAGCTGTCAAAACTGAATTAAGTAGTTGAATGTCGAATGAGTTTGTAAAAATTTAGAAATTTGTCAAATGACATTATTTTGACAGTTAGATACCAATTGATATTTTCTTTGAATTTTCAAAATTTGTGTCATTTTCCTAAAATAAAATCATCGCCATTTAATAAGACAATTTTCGGCAGCTGTCAAAGTTGAGTTTGATAGTTGAATGTCAAGTGAGTCTGTAAAAAAA